TGGTAGAGTGCTAGCCTTGAGCTGAAGAGCTGAGGGACAGCGCCCAGGCCCAGAGTTCAGGCCCCACGACCGGACCCAAAAAAAAAAAAAGAAAAGGATTATAGGCATGAGTCACCAAGCCCAGAAAATATTTCACCAGATTTCAACCAGATTTTTTTTCAAAGAAACAAAAAGTCACAGGTATATTTGAAGTCCTCTTTGATCTCATTCCAGATCCTGTTTCCTTCCCTTCCTCCCCAGAGATAACCAGTCTCCTTGGGCAATGACAACCTAGTATTATATATTTGTTTATGTTTCTGCTATCTTTCCCGTGGGACTGAGTTCCTTGGGGGCAGAGACAATGATTTACTCCATGTTGTGTCCCCAGTGCCTGCCACAGAAAGTTGCTTAGGTATGATAAATGGGCAAACAGAATGACGGGTGAATGGATGTGTAGATGCATGAATGCATGGACAGACAGACATAACTGGAAGGTAGAACAGATGGAGCCTGGGTACTGGTGACACACGCCTGTAATCCTAGCTACTCAGGAAGCTGAGTTTGAATCCAGCCAGGGCAGGAATGTCTGTTTGACTCTTATCTCTAATTAACCAGCAAAAAGCCAGAAGTGGAGAGCTGTGGCTTAAGGGGTAGAGCACCAGCTTTGAGTGGGAAAGCTAAGGGATAGCAGAGTTCAAGACTTGAGGCTGGCACCAAAAAAAAAAAAAAAAAAAAGGTGTGGTGAAAGATAGGTGTGTTGATGGAGCACAGGGAGTGGAAGGTGAGATGGCCTAGGGGGCACAGGCTGACCTCCCCCCCATGTAACCCTCTCCCACAGGTCTGGGTGTCACCCCCTTCCCCTCTCTGGCCCCGCCCATCACGCTGCAGGTGAATGGAGAGCAGCGGACTCTGGTGATCTGCCTGGTCTTGGATGCTGCACCCGCTGGCCTTGACAGTGCCGTCTGGTTCTCAGCTGGCAATGGCAGTGTGCTGGACGCCTTTACCTATGGCCCCTCCCCGGCTGCAGATGGCACCTGGAGCAGCCTGGCCCAGCTCTCCGTGTCCTCTGAGAAGCTGGCAGCCTGGGAGCCCTTGGTCTGCCACACCAGGCCTGCGCCTGGGGGCCAGAGCCTGCGAACACAGCCCCTGAAGCTGTCAGGTGAGGATGGAGCCACTGTCCCCTTCCACACCCCAGAACCCAGATGTGCTGGGAGGGAAGGCAGGCTCTTGACCACGGAGGCATGAAGAGTGGTCAAGGAAGGCTAGCCTGGCAGGATGATGCTTGGGCTCAGGGCACGGGGGGACTTGGGGATTTGCAGCTGTGCTATCAAGTTCAAATCCACACTCAAGCCAGACACTGCTGTTTCACATCTGTAAATCCTAGCTACTCAGAAGGCTGAGATCTGAGAGTTGCCAGTCTGAACTGATGAATCTTATAGACGCTTACCTACAATTAACAGCAGAAAGGCAGAAGATGCTGGGAAGGTGGCTCAGTGCTAGAGCACTTGCCTTGCATGCTTGAGGCCCTGGGTTCCATTCCTTAGCACCACATAAGCACAAAAAGCTGGAAGTGGTGCTGTGGCTCAAGTGGTAGAGTGCTAGACTTGAGCTGAAGAGCGGAGGGATAGTGCCAGGCCCTAGAGTTCAGGCCCCACGACTGGACCAAAAAAAAAAAAAAAGATTGCGCAGGGGCCATACTAATCCCTGCGTCCTTCTGAGGGAGGACACTAGGGAAAAGGATGCTATGATGCTATTACAGCAACGTTAAACCTCAGGTGAGATCCCTGGCGGGGCGGGGGCGGGGGAGGTAGGGGTATGTGGGTGAATGGCCTTGTTATGAGAGAATTAGGAAGAATTTAGGGTGAGGTGTCATGAGAGATGGAAAAATTGGGGCCAGTTTTTTTCTCTGATCCCTGCCTCAAACCTCCTATCTGCTTAATGACTCCCTGCCTAACAGGTGTGCCCACTGATTAACCAGGATAGCAAACCAGGCTCAGGAAGGCAGTTATTAAACTCCCCTTGGTGCGCCCTCCACCCTCACAGGCCTCCCTTGCCCCCTGGCTTTGGGGTTTGGCTAATGAGTGGAGAGGGCAGTGCGGGAAAGAGGAAACATGTATCGAGTATTCCTGCCGGAAGGGCTGGGAAGATGGCTCAGTGGTAGAGCACTTGCCTTGCATGCCTGAGGCCCTGGGTTCGATTCCTCAGCACCGTATAAGCAAAAAGAAAAAAGC